TCATATTTGGGTCTTCAATTTTGTTCCATTCATCCACAGGTCTATTTTTGTGCCAGTACCGTGTTGTTTTAATGACTATAGCTCCATAATACAGTTTATAATATGGTATAGTAATACCCCCAGCATTGCTCTTAGTGTTCAGGGTTGCTTTGGCTATCCAAGGTCTTTTGTGCTTCCATATGGATCTTAGAATGTTTTTTTCCAATCCTGTGAAAAATGTCATGGGGATTTGGATTGGCCATTGAATCTATGACTGGCTTTTGGTAAGATGGTCATTTTAACAATATTCAATCTTCCAATCCATGGGCAAGGGAGGTCTTTCCATCTTCTGGTGTCTTCCTCAATCACCTTTTTAAAAGATTTATAAATTTCACTGTAGAGTTCTTTAACGTCTTTAATCAGTTTAATTCTGAGATATTTCATTTTATTTTTTGCACCTATTGTGAAGGGGAGTGTTTCCATGTCCTCTTTCTCTGATTGCTTGTTACTGGTATATAAAAGGCTACAGACTTTTGTAGGTTAATTTTGTAATCTGCCACTTTACTGAACATGTTAATAATTTCTAGGAGTTTTCTGTGGACTTTTTGGCATCTCTTAGATATAATAACATATCATCTTCAAAAAGGGATAATTTGATCTCTTCTTTTCCAACTATTACTCCTTTAATTTCCTTCTCTTGTCTTATTGCTCTTGCAAGAGTTTAAAGCACTATGTTAAAGGGAAGTGGAGACAGTGGACAGCCTTGTCTGGTTCCTAAATTCAATGGGAATGATTCTAGTTTTTCTCCATTTAGAATGGTATTGGCTGTGGGTTTGTTATATATGGCTTTAATTATGTTGTGGTATGTTCCCTCTAGTCCAGTTCTCTCTAAGACTTTGAACATAAATGCATGTTGAATTTTGTCAAAGGCCTTCTCTGCATCTATTGAGATGACCATGTGGTTCTTATCCTTGAGCCCATTTATATGATTTATGATATTTATTTACTTATATATATTGAACCATTCCTGCATCTCTGGGATAAAGCTGAGTTGATCTTGATGGATGCTTTTTTTGATGTGTGTCTGTATGTGGTTTGCAAGTTCTTGTTGGTTTTTTTTTTTTTTTGTCTTTTTGTTGAGAATT